GCCCCTCCGTAGACGAACACGTAGCCACCCGTGCTCGTCCTGTTCTGTTTATCACCAGCGTCGTCGGCGTCCACGTAGCCGACCAGCTCCAGCGACTCAGGTCCACCGCCCCACTCCAGTGCGGTGTCGCGCGTATTGGCGAGGTAGGCGAGGCAGCGGTCGACCTCGCGCCAGTGCTGGTCGCTCCTCACCGTGAGGCCGCTCCCCAGCTTGCTGCAGGCGAAGGCGATGTCCGGCCTCGTCGTCGTCGCCGCGAACTGCAGCGAGCCGACCTTCTGCCGGTACTCCTCTTCCTGCCGCTCTTGTGCCTCCTCGTCATCGAACGTGAGCTCGGCGTAGGCATCGACCGAGACCGGCGTCTTCGGGGTGCGCCCGGTCTGCTCCTCGTCGATGAAGCGCCTACGAAGCTTGTCGGCGTAGCCCTGCTGGTGCAGCCACAGCTTCCCCGCCGACTTGTCGCGGACGATCTCTAGCCCGAGGTACTTCCGCACCGGCGAGATCTCACGCAGCTCGAAGGCGGCTTCCAGAAGCCCCTTCAGCTCCTTCAACATCGCGGCGCTACTGCTGGCGGTAAGTAGGTCGTCGACGTAGACCAGCACCCAGCAGGCCACTCCGTCCTTTCCGTCCTTGAAGTAGAGAGCCTCGTCGACCTGGCTCTTCTTCCACCCAGCGCCGACCAGCACGTCATTGAGCGCCAAGTACCATAGCAGCGGCGACTGCTTTAGCCCGTACAGGCTCTTCAGCAGCTTGCACACCCGGCCGGTCCCGTCGTTGAAGTAGTCCGGCTGGGACATGTAGAGCACCCTGTCGAGCTTGCTTTGCAAGAAGGCGTTCTTCATGTCGAGCTGCATCAGGTTGAGGTTGCGGACGGCGACGATGCTGAGGAAGATCCTCAGCGTGACGTAGCTGCCCACCGGCGCGAACGTCTCGTCGTAGTCGGCGCCGTACACCTGCGTGAAGCCCTTCACAACCAGCCTCGCCTTCTCGCGCTCGACGGTGTCGTCGACGTGGTACTTCGTCGTCAACACCCACCGGTTCTTCATGACGTTCACTCCCGGCGGACGTTCGACCAACTCCCACGTTCCCATGTTGAGGAGGCTGCGAATCTCCTCCTCCATGGCGGCCTTCACCGCCGGGCCCTTCCAGCTCGCCAACGCCTCCTTCACCGTCATCGTCAAGATGTCCCAACGCTGCTCGGGGTCGGCTAGCATGTCGGGGTCGAACTCTGGAAACTCCTCATCCTCCTCGGCATCGTCGTACAGCAGGTCGTCGGCCTCATTGTCCACGTCGTACACCGTGGTGAAGGCAGCGGGGACGAAGAATTCAGGCGGTCTCCGAAGTCGGCCTGAACGCCGTGGTCCTGGCTGGACCTCCTCGGCGTCCCCTCCATTGTTGCTGTTGTCGCTGCCCTCGGCGTCCTGCTGCTCCTCAGCCGGCGTCCCAGCCGACTTCTCCCCTATGGTCGGCTCCCCTGCCGACTGCCCGGTCGCCGACTGCTCCTTGGTCGGCGTCACTGCTGCCTGCTCCTTTGTCGGCCGCTGGTCCTCGACCTGCTTCTTGACCTGCTCCTCCCCTGTCGACGTCGACTGCAATCCCACGTCGACCTGCCGCTCGTCACGTCGGCCACCGGCGATGCACTTAGCCGAAGGCGACATCCCACTACTCCCCACATCGCCGGAGGCCGACACCGAGGTCAGCCCACGCAGGTCGGCCACGAGGGGAGGGGCGGGGGTCGGAGGGGGAGGGGTAGGGCGGACGTCCTCGACGTCCGTAATAGCAAGCTCACCGACCTCGGCAAGCAGTGGCAGCGTCGCCGACGAGGTGTCAGAGGGCGGGGTGGGCGACGAGCGGCCGGACACCGACCCGTACTCCGTCTTCCATTCGGCCAGCGACAGCTCCTCGTAGAACACCACATCCGACGTGGTGACCACCCGGTCGGCGTCGACGTCGAGGAGCTCCCAGCCCTTGCTCGCCGCCGACACGCCAAGGTGCAGGCCCCACCTGGCCTTTGGCTGCAGCTTCCCACCACGCTGCTGCTCGGTGACTAAGAACTGCGCCATGCAGCCCCACACCCGCGCCAGCGACAAGTCGGGCTTCTTCCCGGTCAGCAGTTGGTACGGCGTCGTCCCCGGCGGCAGCGCCGACCTCTCAAGGCAGTTGCGGACCCAGACGGCCTGGCGGAGAGCGAGGTGCCACCAGTGGTGCTGCACGCCCATGTGCAGCAGCATTGTCCGCACCGACTCCACCACCGTCCTCATCTCCCGCTCCGCCATGCCGTTCTGCTGCGGGGTGTATGGGCAGGTCAGGTCGTGGACGATCCCCTTGCCGTTCACGAAGTCGGTGAACTGCTTCCCGAGGAACTCCCCTCCCCGGTCAGAGCGCAGCATTAATACCGACCTCTTCGTCTGCCGCTCAGCCACTGCCAGCCACTGCACGAACGCCGGCAACGCATCTGACTTCTTGGTGACCGGCTTCACCCACACGTAGCGGGTCTTGCGGTCCTTCAGCAACAAGAAGTACAGGCTGCCATCCTTGGCAGCCACGCGAAATGGCCCGCACAGGTCGACATGCACGACGGCCAGCACATCATCGGCGTCGGAGCCTTGGTCGGGGAAGGTGTGTCGCGCCAGCTTCCCGCCGACGCACGAGACACACGGGGAGTCGGCGTCCGTCGCCGACTTGAGGTCCAGCCCAGTGGCGACCTCGTTCTTCGCTGAGCTCCGTATGGTGTCCATGCCGACATGTGCAAGTCTCGCATGCATCCGGTCCGGCGTCGACTTCGTCTTCGAGACGATCGCCCGCAGAGCCACCACCTCCGACGTGGGCGGCGTCGACCTCGTCGCGCAGGGACGCAGGTCGGTGCAGAGGACTCGCCCAGAGTACGTCGCCCGCCCAAGCACCTCCCCTGCTGCCGAGACGAGCAGCATGCCGTCGCCGTCCTCCTGCAGCTTCACGCCGTGCTCCTTCAGCTGGCCGGCCGACAGCAGGTTGGCCCGCACACCCGGGACGTACAGCACGTCGGGGATGAGCACCTCCTTCCCGGCCTCTCCTTGCAGGGAGACGGTGCCACGGCCCTGAACGTCCTGCAGCGCCCCATTAAAGCCGCGCACGTGCTTGATGGAGCCACTCGGCTGCAGGTCGACGAAGGCTTCCTTCGTTCCCATCAGGTGGTGGGAGCAACCGCTGTCGAGCAGGACCACCGCCGGGTTCGCCTGCACAGCCGCCGCCACCGCCTGGAAGTCCTCTCCGGCCTCCGGCGCCAGAGAGATGGTCGGCTCCACGACGCCGACCAGCGAGCACGACGCCATCTTGTCGTCTCGCCCCTTGCCGCCTGCAACAGAGTCGGCGTCCTTCGCCGAAGTCGATGCCTTGGTCGACTGTTTCTCCTTGCGCGGATGATTTCCTCCACGACGAGGACGACGGCTGCCAGACCTCCCGCGGCTGCCCTTGTCGTCGTCGTCGGAGTCACTGCGGTCGGGACAATCGAAGGAGAGGTGATCGGGGCTGTGGCAGATCCAGCACTCCCGACGTCGACCTCCTCCTCCTCGCCCGCCGTCCTTGGTCGACTTCTTCTCGACCTCCTTGGTCGACTTCCAGCCACCGCTCTCGCCGCCACCAGACTGTCCGCGCTGTCCTGGTCGGCCTCCTTGCTTTGCCGGAGCGACGAAGTTGGCCTGCGCCAAGAGCTCCTGCGATCGCTCAGCCTCCTGCATCGCCTCGTCCTGCAGGATGTACGAGGTCAGGTTGTCCTCGTTGAGCGTCGCCCTCGTGCTCGGCGCCATAGACAGCCGCTTCAGGAGGTTATAGCTGCTAGACAGTCCCTGCATGACATGGGTGATGTACGACGCCGTGGAGTACTGCGCGCCGGCCATCCTGATGGTGGCGAGAATTCGCCTGGCTCGGTTGCAGTAGTCGGTCGCACTCTCCTCGTCGCCCATACGCAGCTGCGTCAGCTGTCCCTCCAGCTGGGCGATGAACAGGTCGTCGGTGACTTGGTACGTCGACTCAATGAAGTGCCACGCCCGGTGGCCGGCGTCGAGGTACTCCCGGCACCACTTCAAGGCGATCTGCACGCCCGGCGAGCAGCACCGCGAGATGACCGTGAAGGTCAACAGCTGCACGGCGCGAAACTCCGCACGCAGGTCGGGGTGGTGCTCCCCCGGCGTCGCCACGGTCCCTCGGGCGAAGCCGATCAGCCCGGCCATCTCTAGCTGGGGCTCGATGGCTTCCTTCCAGGTGAGAATGTCGGGTCGACCGACCAGCGGAGGGGTGACCGAGATCCTGTCCGGCGTAAACTTGAAGTAGCCGTAGCTCGGCGCAATCCCACCTGCCGTCACCTGGGACGCCGACATCGGCGACACCCCACTCCGTCGACCTCCGACGTCACCCCGCGAAGAGCCTGCAGTCGCCGACGACTGCATCCCTCGCGCCTGAACGCCGCCGACTTCACCGGCGTGTATCACACCTCGTTGCCTCGACGTGCCTCCCACACTGCTGCCGACCTGACCTCCACCGGCGTTGACGCCCACGTCGACGCCGCCTTCGTTGTTCACCAGACGAGGAGAGGCAGGTCGAGACGGGTGCTCCGTCGCCCACATGGAGCGGAGTCCAGCCTCGACGACCGGCCAGGGCAAGTCGCCATACTCATTGGCCTCGTGCTTCCTCCTCGCGTTCTCCAACCGTGCCTCTAGGGTGTCCACCACCCCCGCGTCACCTACGGCTCCTACCATAGTGACTACCGCACAGTTGCCGGCCTGCAACTACGAAATAGGTAAGTGGTGTCTACGTCGACCTGACTGAAAGGTAAGTCGTGTTCGTTCCACGCTCACCGCACCATGCGGAGATAACTGCAGCAACGGGAGCTAGGCTACGGGCTAGGCACGTGTGCTCGTGTGATCTCTGCGTTCGTTAGTCCTTAGTCGTTTTCCTTGTGCACACACTACTTGCTAGTTCACGGGGAAAATTGGCAAGAGTTTTTACTAGGAAAAAGGTTCAGAACAATGGTACAATGAAGTTGGCACAGCAAGACTACATCAGAGCAAGCATTCAGGTCGGCCAACTGCCAACGCAGCTTGGTCGACCGTGCTCCAGCACGACTTGGTCGACCGCGCTCCAGCAAGGCAAGGTCGACGGCGTGCCAACGTCACAGGTTGACGGCGTGACAGCGTTGCTCACGCAGGACAGCAGTGCACCCTGCTTCGCAGTTGCGTGCAGGTGATTGGCGTGCAGAGTCTCGTCACCTACACAGCGCACAACACCACGTCAACCTCGAGCTGACGACTGCCTCTGATCGGCCACGTCGACCTCGGGATACCACCACCGAGGTCGGGCTCGCCAACTTCACCTGGGCGACCGTCGCACTCCTCCGCAGCACTTCGTCACCCAGGTAACCTGGTCGACCAGGCAACCACGTCGACCAGCAGCTCCCGTACGTGCCCGTCGACCTCCCAAGTCAACGACCACCTCCACGTCGACCTCACCAGGTCGACGACACCATCGGTCGACCTCCTCCAGGTCGACATCCCCTCTGGTCGACCATCTCCTCGTCGACCAGCACTCCTGGTCGACCTGCTCCTCGTCGACCAGCACAGTCGTCGGCCGACCACCCACGTCGGCCACCCGAAACTGGCGTCACGAAGTTGACGCCCCGCTACTCAACGCCCAACTGTTCGGCGTCCTGAGTCGAGGTCGACGTCGGCCCCTCCTTCGTCGACCACCAGGTCCAGTCGACCACTTAACAGGTCGACCAGCAGTCCGTTAGCCGATTGCCGAAGTCGGCTTCCCCAAGTTGACGTCACCAAGTTGACGTCCTCCGCAGGTCGACACCCAAGTCGACCTCCCTGAAGTCGGCGCCACCCTGAAGTCGGCGCCCGTGCAGTGGTCCCCCGTGCAGGTCGACCTCCTCGTCGACCAGCTCACCCACTGCTGAAGGCCGGCTGCTCCCCTCACACCCGACCACGAAGTCGGCTCCGCCCAAGCGAGGACGGGGCCAATACCCAACTCCCGTTGACAGTAGTGCCGGGGGTGGCGGCGGTGGTGCCGGGGGTGGCGGCGGGGGTGGCAGTAGTGGAGGCGGCGGAGGCGGTGGAGGTGGCGGAGGGAGCGGAGGCGGCGGAGGTAGTGGAGGAGGCGGAGGTGGAGGAGGCGGCGGAGGCGGCGGAGGCGGCGGCGGCGGAGGCGGCGGTGGTGGAGCGAGTCGCGACTCTGCGCAGAGGAGTGGCGCCGGTGGTGGTCAGCGCTAGCAGCAGCAGCGGAGTGGTGTGACCCTGTCCCCTCAGCAGCTTTGTGAGTGGTACACTACACGCCAGCGCGGTGGGGGTTTTGGTCCCTGCTCTTACGTTCTCCTTACCGGCGACCGCACTAGTGAGCAGTGCGGAGGCCCGCACTCCACCCAGCGCTGCTTTGGTCGCCTGACGGACGCGTGGCGTCGCCAGTTCCCTGAGGCGTCAGAGATCCCTTGCTGGGGAGATCTCGCTAATGTCGGGGTTGCTATCTTTGATCTTGACTTTGATGCTATTCTTGCTGCCATGTATGCTGTTGCTGATAGTGTTGAGGGTGCCTGTGACCTGTGTGTACCGCCTCACCCGGGCATTGAGGCTGCAGCGCTAGGTGCTGGTGAGGCTGCTACTTTAGGTGCTAGTGCGTCTACTGCCCCAGGTGCCGGTGCGTCTGCCGCCCTAGGTGCTGGTGAGTCTGCTCTCTCAGGTACTACGTCGGCTCAAGCCTTCCACACCTTCACCCTGGACTCGAGTGCGTCCCGCTCCTTCTTTCGAGACCGCACCACTCTTACGCCGCTTTTTCGGCCAGTTGCAGTCTCCCTGGGAGACCCCTCTGGGGGTCCTGTCCTTGCTAGCTTCTCCACTGTCCTTCCGTGCCCTGCAGCCCCCTCTGGCACCCTGTCTGGTCTCTACCTCCCCTCGTTCTCTACGAACTTGGGGAGTGGAGCAGACCTACAGGATCAAGGGGTTGACAAGTTCACTCCTGCGAGTCAGCGAGTGACCCACTGCACGTGTGCTCGGAGAGGCCCACTCTTGGCCACGTTCACCGTCGGGCGGGGTCGAGCCTGTACACCCTTACTACTGAGTCTCCTCCGGTTGCTGAGTCTGCCCAGGTAGCTGCGTCGAGTCAGGTGTTTGCTGCGGCGTCCAGGTCTGGTCTTGAGTCTGCCCCCTGCTTGTGTCGTCTGCTGTCCCACCAGACTCTCCTTTGGCACCACCGCCTTGGTCACCCCTCCTTGCCTCGTCTCCGAGGCATGGCCTCCCATGTCCTTGTCTCAGGTCTTCCTCGGTCTCTCCCTCCCCTTCCTCCGGGACCTGGCCCTACCTGCGTCCCCTGCGTCGAGGGGCGACAGCGCGCCGCCCCTCACTCCTCCGAGTTTCCTCCGACAGAGGCTCCGCTGCAGACTCTACACATGGACGTGTGGGGCCCCGTGTTAGAATAGTAGGTGTGGGGCCTAGGCTTAGTAGCCTAGGCCCACACTAGGAGGTAGGTGGGCTTGCTCTAGAACTAGGAGTTAGGGTTTACGAAGGAGAATTGGAAGGAAGAATGAGGGACTAGGAAGCAGCAGGACACACAAAATGGCAAACCCTAAGGGGTTGTACTCACTATTGAGCACCCCACTGCAAGCTAGACAAATAACATTCTGACACACCCCCATAGCCAAAGTGGGGTGTAATTAGCAGAGCAGGCAAAGCAGTACAAGCTCAGGGTGGATCACAATGTCACCACACATTCTGAGCACAAGTTAAAGAAGCAATAGTTTAAAGTTAAGAATTATGAGCACAGCTAGTGGTAGTCACAACGGGCAAGTGAGGAGGAGGAGAGAGAGTGAGGGGAGAGGAGATAGGAGGAGACGGCTGAAGCTGCAGACACACGGGCAACAGGAGGCAGACTGGCACAGCGGCTACCGGACTAAGCGCCCGGACTACAGGAGTAATAGGCCCCGCGGCTAAAGTAGCGGCAGACGAGCAACGGACCCACGGGCGGCTGGCGTAGAAGTCTAGCTCACTGGGCTACCGGGACAGCGCCCCGGACTACAGGTGCTGCGGACAACAGTACGGCAACTTCCATGCAGCTTCCCCAAACAGTCCCACCCCCCTGACACACACCCGCTGCTACACCGCTAGCTCCAGTCCCACGCACCCCCCTTAAACCCTAAACCCCAGTCTCCCACACAACCACCCCCCTCAGCGACAGCTGCAGCAGTGGGAGACGAAGGAGGAGGAGGAGCAAAGGGAGGAATGCACACCAGCCACCCCCATACCCGCAAAGGGGGGGGGGGGGGGGGGGGGGGGAGAGCAGAAACAGTGCGCACGAGGGCGCAGACAGTAGCAGAGCGCACGAGGGCGCGAGCGCGCGGCACGAGCAGCACCAGGCACATGCAGCACAGGGCAGCACAGGCACGGGCAGCAACAGGCACAGGCAGCACAGGCACGGGCAGCACAGGGCAGCACAGGCACGGGCAGCAACAGGCACAGGCAGCACAAGCACGGGCAGCACAGGCACGGGCAGCACAGGCACGGGCAGCACAGGCACAGGCAGCAACAGGCACAGGCAGCACAGGGCAGCACAGGCACGGGTAGCAACAGGCACAGGCAGCACAGAGCGTACCGGGTCCAGGGGCGGCTTCTGAGGTCCAGGGGCGGCTGCTGCAGGGGCTGCTGCTCCAGGGGCCAGGGGCGGCTCCTGCACGGGCGGCCGCTCCAGGGACCAGGGGCGGCTGCTGCAGGGTCGGCTGCTCCAGGGACCAGGGGCAGCTGTACCAGCGGCGGCTGCACCAGGGGCGGCTGCTGCAGTGGCGGGCAGCTCCAGGGGCGTCTGCTGCTGCAGGCTCTGGCGGCGGCTGCTGCTGCAGGCTCTGGCGGCGGCTGCTGCTGCTGGGCGGCGGTGGCTGCTGCGGCAGAGCGGCGGCGGCTGCTGCTGCTGGTAGAGCGGCGGCTGCTGCTGCAGGCTCGGTGGCGGCAGCTGCTGCAGGCCTGGCGGCGGCTGCTGCTGCAGGCTCGGCGGCGGCTGCTGCTGCAGGCTCTGGCGGCGGCTGCAGGCCTGGCGGCGGCTGCTGCTGCTGCAGGGCGGCGGGGGCTGCTGCTGCAGGATCTGACGGCGCCCCGCGGGTCCCGCAGGGGGCGTCGCGACGAGCAGGGGCGACGCCCCGCGGGTCCCACAGGGGGCGTCGCGACGAGCAGGGGCGACGCCCCGCGGGTCCCGCACGGACGTCGCGACGAGCAGGGCGACGCCGCGCGGGTTTCGCAGGGGGCGTCACGACGAGCAGGGGCGACGCCCCGCGGGTCCCGCACGGACGTCGCGACGAGTAGGGCGACGCCGCGCGGGTCCCGCAGGGGGCGCCGTGACGAGCAGCGGGGAAGGCAGCGCGCAGGCCCCCTCGAGGGCGCTCCGACGGACGAGAAAACCGCCGCGCGCCCCGAGCGCGCGGTGGGCAGAAAAAGCCGCCACGCGTTCGAAGCGCGTGGCGGGATGAAAATGCAATGCCGCGCACCACGGGGCGCGCGGCGGATAGTACGGCAGCGGAAGTAGGTGGTGGGCCCGATGAACTAGGCGGCAGGATCATGCCGGCTCTGATACCATGTTAGAATAGTAGGTGTGGGGCCTAGGCTTAGTAGCCTAGGCCCACACTAGGAGGTAGGTGGGCTTGCTCTAGAACTAGGAGTTAGGGTTTACGAAGGAGAATTGGAAGGAAGAATGAGGGACTAGGAAGCAGCAGGACACACAAAATGGCAAACCCTAAGGGGTTGTACTCACTATTGAGCACCCCACTGCAAGCTAGACAAATAACATTCTGACACCCCGCCCGCGTCAGTGGGCAGGGGAGAGAGCGGTACTTTCTGCTGGTCGTTGACGACTAGTTGTGTTACATCACAGTCTTCCCCTTGCGCAGCAAGGGTGACGTCACTGAGGTGTTGATCGACTGGATCCGCGCAGCTCGTCTCCAGCTCAGAGAGAGTTTCGGCTCGGACTTTCCTATTCTGCGTCTGCCCTCGGACAGAGGCGGGGAGTTCTCCTCTGCCCGTCTGGGAGCCTTCTGTCGGGCACAGGGCATCCGCCAGACCTTCACGCTTCCGGCCTCTCCACAACAAAATGGGATTGCTGAGCGCCGCATTGGCATGGTCATGGACGTCGCGCGTACGTCCATGATGCATGCGGCTGCCCCCCATTTTCTGTGGCCGTTTGCGGTTCAGTACGCCGCGCATCAGCTCAACCTTCAGCCCCGGGTCTCCTTGCCAGAGACCTCCCCCGCCTTGCGGTGGACAGGGAAGGTTGGCGATGCGTCTGCGTTTCGGGTCTGGGGATCTCGGGCGTTTGTCCGCGACTTGTCTGCGGACAAGCTGTCCCCCCGTGCTGTTCCTTGCGTCTTCCTTGGCTTCCCCCCCGACGCGCCTGGGTGGCAGTTTTACCACCCCACCACGCGCCGTGTTCTGTCCTCCCAGGACGTCACCTTTGACGAGTCGGTGCCTTAATACCGTCTCTTCCCCTACCGCACTGCGCCCCTCCCCCCGCCGCCGCTCTTCCTTGCTCCAGGTGCTACCCAGGTAGACCCCCTCCCTCCTCAGGGTCCTGCCCCATCAGGTCCGTCCTAGGTAGACGCAGTCGAGCCTGTCGAGGTAGCTTTTGAATCTGGTGCTGCTAGAGGTGCTGAGCCTGCGGGTGCCGGGTCTGGAGGTGCTGAGTCTCGGGGTGCTGAGACTGGGGGTGCTGAGCCTGGGGGTGCAGAGTCTTGGGGTGCTGAGCCTGGGGGTGCTGAGCCTGGGGGTGCGGAGCCTGGGGGTGCTGGGTCTGCTCGTGTGGCCGCCGGCGGTGCGTCCTCGAGGCGGGAGCCGCTCTCTCCACAGGAGCTGCGCGAGTGGTTCGCCCGCTGCTGGAGACGTGCTGCTGAGTCTGGGGGTGCTCCTGGAGCTGCTGTCGGTGCTGGTGCGTCTAGGGGTGCTATTGAGGCTGCTGGTGCTGACGTTTCTACTGGAGTTGGTGCTGCTGGAGCTAGAGCTGCTGGGGGTGTTGGTGCTGGCGGTGCTGCTGGCGCTTGTGCTTCTGAGGGTACTAGAGTTGGCGCTGCTGGAGCTGGAGGTTGTGCTGGCGCTGGTGCTGCCGCTGGGGGTACTGGTGTCGTCCTTGCTGACTCTGGAGGCGCTGAGCGGCCGAGGCCGTACTTCGTATTCCGGGAAGACCTTTAGAGGAAGAAGACAATTAAAGAAGTGGTACCGGTGCCTACGGAGCTGGGGAAAAAATTAAGGAGTGTGGAAAGGAGTAGACCTTTTCACGGCGTCAACGTCCTCTCCCGGAACCAGCCCAAGACCACTCTCCACTCCCCAGGGAAGAAGTTTATGGAGCTGAAGCAGCTGAAGAGGCAGCTGGGAGTTCAAAAGAAGCTGCAGAAACTGCGAAAACCCCTCAAGGATGCATCCAGTGGATCGCAGGCGTCGACCGGATCCACCCCCTCAGGGTCAACTTGTACAGTTACTACCTCTACTCCTGGCATTGGAGAAGAGCCTTTCTCCACGCAGCCCAGGCCAGCTAGTCGTCCAGAAGAAAGCAGTGGAACCACGGTGTGTACTGAATATTGGGATGTACCCTATGATCCTATTAATGAGACTATTTTTGGGTACTCCGAGCAACGCTCACCACTCCTGCTCGAGGTGATCTGCAACGGACAGCGCCTCCAAGCACTCGTGGACAGCGGGGCGTCGCACAACGTCTATGACAAAAAGGCAATCGATCGACTCGGAAGTGACATCAAGTCCTCAAGCTTCTTTGCAACGATGGTGGATGGCAGTAAGCTACCTATCTACGGGGAAACACGGTTGCTACTCCAGATTGGACCCCTTCGATGGAAGCCTGCTCTCCCCGTCACAAATATCAAAGGACTCGATGTAATCTTCGGGAGAGACTTTCTTAAAAAGTTCAACCCCGAGATCGACTGGGTTAACCAGACGGCCAACATCAACAACAACGGGAGGAAAATCAGCCTTCCCAAATGGGACGACACGGGAAATATTCCAGTCGAGACACTCGCACGCTTTGAAAAGGACGTCAAACGGACCACGGCGGGATTCATGGCGATAGTCAACGAGGCAGACAACGGAGAGAAGCAGACCCAGGAACTTCC